AAAAAAGAAAGAAAGTAGAAACTGGAGCCCACAAAGTAGCAAATGACTTTCTCTGATCTTAAAAGCAGCAAGAAAAAAAAAAAAAAAAACTCACACACTTGATTTTGTGCCCTCCTGACTTGCTTAGAAAAACTGGCAGCTTGACAAGTACCTCAACCAAGCCCAACATCTTGATCTCTCATCAGTAAATGTCAGTAAATCAGGCAAGTCAAAAGCCTGGCTCAGTAAGTATAGCTGTGATATGAAATACTTGAACACCCTTGAATCTTGGTATGACTTGCTGCAGGCCTTTTCAGCTTGCGTTGTGGTCATTTTGAGAAGCCCATCGCTGAGCTCCAGTACTGTAAAAAGCCAGAGAGCGCTGACTTTTCATGGCTCATGTGCTCCTGTCTCCGAGCTGAGCATGCTGACAACCACCTAATCCCCTAAAAAATTCAAGTACCCCACCTGCTCTTTTCTGCTCCCAAATTTAATCCTTCATGAGTCCTTAATGTACCTCACCTGGGCAGGTGTAGAAGACAGAAAAAGGGATTAAGCTGCTTGGTCAAAGAGGTGAGAAGGGCCAGGAGGTGCTGTGGTGACCTGGGGCTGCTGTCTGACCTGTGTGGTGCAGGGCCTGGGGCCTGCGCACCTGGGCCCGCTGTTGCATGTAGCTGCCCTGGGGACAGAAACGTCTTCCATGCTGGGGTCAGCTCATGAACCCAGCACATGCCGATAAACAGCGGTTGGAGTCAGCTTAGTAGACGCTAAGTTGAAACCTGAGGCATTTCTGGAGCTGCTTTTGACCTCAGCCCCATAATTTTGAAGAGTTATGCACCTGGCAGTTAACATCATGACCATGTCATTTGAATCCAGCCTTGTATCTCCAAGTATTTATGCATGCTGCATGCTTAGGAGGTAGACTGTGTTTGCTAGATAGTGTTGAGGCATGGAGGGATTTCATGATTGAGCAAAGGCAAAGGAGAATTTTTGTGGCAGCAGTAGGATTTGAATTTTACCTTTCACAAACCAGGTTAGTGGCCCAGCCACTGCTTATCAGTTCCTTTCCCTATAAACAAATACTTTTCCTATAGCTAGAGAGCAATAACAGCAGGGTATGTTTGGTGCATGAACCGAAAGGTGAGACTACGAGTGCCATGGATTTTTATGAACCTTCGTTTTCCTGTCTGGTTCCTGAGGGCAGTATTCGGCCTTTTCTCTGTCATACTTACAACAGTTTGAATTTGCTAGATAATTTGTTAGAATTTGCAAATTTGCAGACAGCAAAACAATTCAACTTCACAAACAGGGAATTAAGTTGTTGAGGAAGAATAGAGCAATTCACATTTGCAGAAACTCTCTATAACTTGTGGTTTATGTGTGACGCAGGTCGGCAGTCACATTTGCAGAGTGCTGCACTAACCAAGAGTGGAAAGGTTTGCAGCATTCCCTCTGTGAAGCAGATTTCATAACTTCTTGAATCCTTTGGCTGTAGGAGTGTTATTCTGATTTTGATCTGTGAGCAAGGAGATCACGGGTGTTTTTCCATCTATAGCTTTTATTGACTTAAATAAGTAACCAGGGAGACTCTCTTTTGGCTCAGTTCTACCTTTGAATGACTTTCATAGTGTCCATGGCCTCCTGTCTGTGATTCATGACCTCATCTAACCTTCACTTACCACCCATGGCCAAAAAGCATTGGGTGTTCTTTTCCACATTGTCCTCCCCTCACACCTCTGATTTTACAGTCAGGCAGGAGTTAGCAATGAGGTGCATATTCAAGGCTGGAGAGTTGGTGTATAGGCAGATGAGATTGCAAGTATTTCCCTGAGTTCTGCTCCTGTGTCACATCCACTTTCAAGCAATCTTTCACCAATCCCTTTGGGACTGGTTTGTTTTCAAGGCACCTAGTGGCAGTACTTGAGCGTATCGGGTACTCCCCTTGCACCTCTTCAGCCAGGAATCTTATTGGGAAAGCCTTCGAGTCCCTGTGGAAGAAAGCAAATTGAAGAAATTCAGCCAGAATAGAATACAGGGGAAATAAGATCAGCAAGATGAGAGTTAAAACCTAACACCATTCTGAAAGGTCTGTGGTCAGTGGAAGTAATGAAAAACAAACTCCTGTCTCTTGCCTGCCAGTTTTTTCCTTACTCTGTCGCTACAACAAGAGAGGAGGAGGACCATCTCAGATCAGAAGGAGACGCACACCAGCCTATGGATGTGCTGCTTCCAGAAACTGTTAAGGGAAATCATTCAGCACGATTACAAAGGGCTGGATAACATATGGACACTAATAGCATTTGCAGCTACATAAGCAGCAGTAACATGAGCAGAGTAATCAAATCTCATCCTTCAGTAGGAAAGCTGATCACCTGAGGGGGTCTGGGATTTCCCTCTTACACAATTGGGCCAGGTACCTCCACGGGCTAATTGAAACATCAGGTGCTATCTGAGGCTGGGCAGAGCATGGTTGCCTGATGGATCTAATCTGCAAACAGAGCAGCTCTGGTCATGTCACTGCCCACAGGCCTGATAGCTCCCTGGGTACTGTCTGCTCTGGCTGTGGCTTTCGGTGTTTTTTTTTTCTTTTCTTTTTTCTTTCTTTCTTGAGCAGAGTTTCAGGTGTGTTTTTCTGGCAGAGTTAATAGCTGTTGGATGAAATCCTCCCCGTCATTTGCTGTTCCTGTTTCTTCCTTAGCTAATTTTTATCCTGAAGGTGGTAAAAATAGCATAGCTGGGAGGAAGGGGAACTAAACCCCGGGGCTGTGACCAGCCTCAAGGCAAGGAAAAGCTTTATCTTACTTCCCCTTATTACAGCTTTTGTACCCCTTAATTTCTAACCAGAGAGCAAGCTACCATCTTTTTCCAGTGGCATCATACCAGAATAATATATTCCCTCCTGTATTCCTGCTTAGCTGAGCCTCTAGAGGTTGGGTGACAGTCAGCAATTAGGTCATGAGCTGTAGCTTCTTTGCAGGGAAGAGAAGTCTACTGGGCAGCTATTGCCATTGCTCTTGCAATGGAGGCTCCAGGAACCTCCACATCTCCACAGCAGGTCATGCTCCCAGCCTGGCTCTGCTGGTCTGCAGCGTAAGGAACAGTCTGGGCGAATTTTCTTGAAGCTTCTGCCCACTCCAAGCCTGGCCTGACGCTACCGCTTTAGTCCTCACGTGCACCTGAAATAGCTGCTAAGGCGACAGCGACGTCTGTACCGCAGCTCGGTGCCCTCCAGCACCGAGGCTGTCTGTTCATCGGGGGAAATCCATGCACTGGTTGATCCTGTGGCCTCTGCTGGGGAGGAGACCCTTACCGTGCACATTGACCATGCACATCCGGCTGGAGGACCCTGGAGGATGCTTGGTCTCTTTTCCATCTTTCCATAGCTCCTCTTTCCTGCTACTAAGCAGCCTTCTAGGAAAGCCTGTTTCTTCCCCAGGAGTGCCTGTGGAAATCCTCAGGGAAAAGGTAGGCTTTCAGCGAGGACCTGGAACACAAGAATTCCTTCTAAGGGGAGTGTTCACCCTGTTATTTTCTGAAATTCCTTTCTTACCGTGTCAGGGAGCTAACCTGCCAAAAAAAGTACAATTCAACAAGCAGAGAACTTGCTACCTCCAGATTAATTTCTAGCAGCTTTGTCTCTCCCTTGTTAGACTTATGTAAATAGGTATTGGGTAAATATTTGTACAATACAGACAATTACACCCCTTTTTTCTCTTTTCCAAGGGTCAGCAAAATGTCAGCCATTGGCATTTGCATCCAGCCAGGCTTCTGCATTTGTTTTGCGTCGGGCTTCATGCCCGTTGTCCTTAGGAACTTAAACACAGACAAGCCCAGGAAATCGCCACAGTGGACCAAACCAGCAGTCTGCACTGGCCAAGAGCCTTTTCAGTAGAGACTAATTCTGGGAATTTCATTATGGGTTTGTTCCAAAGGCCAGTGAAGTTCAGAGTTTAAAAGCAAAAACAAATAATCTCTCACCTCTGCACAAAAAAACCACTTGGAGTCCTTTTCTCCTCAGTGAGTCTTGGGGAAGGAACTCACAGTTAAAATAACATCATCATCTTCATGAATACAGCCCCAGCATTTATTTTTTTTGCATTCCTGTTTTACTTGCTTCCTCTCTAGTCTAACTCATCCCGCTCTTACTCTCTCCTCTGAAGAAAAGCCTGCTCCCTTTACTTACTGGTAAGATGAGCCTTCAAAGAAGCACATACTGAATTTCACATGAACCAAAAAGACTGTTCC